AATAGAGTTTGCACCAGAGGAGAGGAACTATGAAAATAGCGTCGGTATGCGATCGGTTACTTGGTTGGGCGCCCACCAATCTCGGCATTGTGGGCGCCCCTCTGGGATGAGGCACCCAACCAATCATGTCGTTTTGGTTCGCCCCATTGATCAAGTCGTGCGGCCCGACCATTTAAGCAATATATAAGAAAGGCATTAATTAGTTTGACTACAAAATCAATAATGCTTTATTTAGAACCATTCATTATTTTGACAACTGAAGTGTGATACCTGTTCATGGAATCAGGAAAAAACCTTTCCATTAAAATGGCAACCATTCCATTGAGAGTTTTCGATAAGACCGAATTTTTCAAGTAGTTTTCTTTTAATTCTCGGTGCTGCCGTTCTAAACCATTGGTAGTGTTTACTCGAATGTTTATATCTAGCAGAATAAAACAGATCAACACAAATTATCTGTTTTGTTTTCTCACACATTTATTACAACTATTTCCCTAATGTTTTATTTCATTATCAATGAAATAGAAACAATCTGGTAGCAAAGACCTTACCTTATGGTTTTTAATCCAAGTATTCTCGATATAAGCCTGTAATTTGGTTGACTTGTTATAAATTATACTTCCTCGAAAGGGCTAAGTACTTTTCATAGTCCTTTTTCTGTCTGGGCATCAGCCAGTTTCCTTAACCTAAATTGACAAAAAGTGGGAATTAGACAGGCTTAGAAACACAATTCCACTGCATGGTCCTCCTAGCTGAACAAACTATACATTTTCGACAGCTTATAACACTAAGAACACAAGCCCAAGAGTTTCGAGAAAAATGTTTGCACAAACTCGATTTAGGGCCTGACGAAAATCAAGCCCAATATTTATATCGTTAATAGGATCCATGGGGCCTGCGATGGTTGGTGGGTAGGTGTTTGCCTAGTAATCATGGGCTGGGTGAAACATGCTAGGGTCTCATGAGATGGGGATATATTTGTTGAGTAAAATGGTTATGAAGTAATTGAGAGCAGAATCTGCCAGTAGCATTGTAAATCGCATTGAGACCAGGTGATCTTGATCACTTAAATATAAACCCACGGTCCACAGACCATTAAATTAGTCCCTACAGTATTTTGACTACATAAATAACAAATTCTAACTCACATTTGTAACTCAAATTCTAACTCACATTTTGCACATCCGTGGTCCAGTGCGGAGAGCCACCTATTCCAGCATTGCTCACGATGGAATTAACAATTATCTGAAATATATCAATATTTTCAACAAGTTTCCATCAAAACGGAACATCAGCGGGATTCGGTTTACAGATTCAATACATTTAGTTTCACGTGTAACCTTAATTTAAAAAGATTATCCGAATTTGGCATTTTGTAACTGCAATGCCATTTTTTTTTACTTTTGTATGTAACTTAGCCATGTTTGGATTTAAACCACATATATATTTTATGTTTTTTTGTATAAAATTAAATTTAATCCTTCAGGGAGACCTAATGTATATATGAATATATTTATTTATTTATATGGTTTTTTTTTATGCCTCCAATCAATATTTTGATGATATTATGGGCTAGCCAGGGAAATATATTGAATTAGGAATGAAGTACAAGAAACTTTACGTTTAACGGGAATATTAATGCATGGCTTACAAGTTTTGAAATGTGTCTTTAACCTCATGGGTTTTCTCCGGGTCCTCCGGTTTCCTCCCACTGCTAAAGACCCCTACGCGCAAGCGAATGATTGAAATAAAATTGAACCATGTGTTAGTCCCAAAATGACCTATTTTGTGTCGAGTGGACGTTAAACCCATTTCTCTCTCTCTCATTTCGGGACTAAGTACTTAGGGTACAATTCTTTTATTTCAATAATTCGTTTGCGCGTGGGTCTTTAGCAGTGGTGAGGGGGACGGGCGGAGAAACCCCAAGCGGATTGTTAGACATACGAAAGTATAGTGTGCCGTGTATCTTCAGCAGTCAGCATTGGCTGAGAAAGTTCATCGGGATTTTCCGGCGTGGTTCCCCCTTTTCAGTGGTGCAGGACATATGGCCTGGCAGAGGACAAAAAAAAAACGAGGTCCCCTTACGCATTGGCGTGCACGTAAAAGATCCCTTGGCAGTTGGAATTCGATATAAGAGTAGGCCGTAGCGCCGCTGTCTGGGCAAATTGTCCCTCATAGCGCACTGTATGGCGTACGCCCGTCTTCATTAGCCCGGTCCGTTGAATAGAAGTCAGCTGTATGGAACGACAAACACGCTACATTCATTTAATTGGCACGGGAACCATGGGTAGTGAATTGATTTTATGTTAGTTCGGCATTACATAATATAGAACCATAATTCAGATCACTGGGACACAAAACATCCACCTATGTGTTCACTATACTAGCCGGGACTATGTAATACTACATCTGGTGGGTATTCGACTGATTACTAAACAATAATACATTAATGTTCGCCTCGATTTTACTTTGTTTAATGTATAAATTATAAAGAATAAATTAAATCTATCACTGACCATCTTTTATTGATCTGTGAAAAATCATTCGGCTCTCAAATGGTATTACACAAAACTTTTGAGAAGACTTCAACTGTCGAAATATTTAATTTAAGGTGTGCCCAGAGATGGAAACAAAGTGAAAATTCTCAAGATCTCCAAAGCTTGGACTCTCCCCTGACCGTCACCTAACAGAATAAACAGTAAACATGCCAAGAAAAGTGTCAGACTTTCTATGACAAATTAAAGCCCGGCCATTCCTATGGGTTTTCTCTGATTCCTCCCTCCAATAAAGGCCTATCTACACAAACGATTATTGACACATGAATATAGCTGTCAGTAGAAAAATGACCTAGTTTTTGTTGAGAACCATTAACATCCCTATCTTCAGACGCGGAAACAGAAAGTGGGGTGGGGGTACAATTTACAATCTATTTTTGTCTTATGATTTTTTCGAGAAAAAGCCTTCGGCAAAGTGTACTGAAAAGTCCAATTTGTTACATTTTAATTTTGAACAGTTTCATATAGTATTTGCGCAATGTGTGTAGTTTTGATATTTATTTACCGATATGTTGAAACCCCTATTATTCAGGTAAAGACATATAAGAAAAGAAAGGACCTTGAGTAGAAAGAGAGAGAGAAATGGGATTTAACGTTCACTCGACACAAATTAGATCATTTCGGGACTAACATATGGTTTAATTTTATTTCAATAATTCGCTTCCGCATAGGGGTCTTTAGCAGTGGGAGGAAACCGGAGGACTCGGAGAAAACCCACGAGGTTGGACAGGCAACCCTACTCCTTGTCACGCCAGTTGACTCAATGACAGATAGCTATACACACACGGGACGTATACAGGGGCGTTGTAAGCATTAACGGGACCGGGAGCGAGCACCAACAAGAGAGAGAGAGAGAGAGAGAGGGGGGGGGGCTTGTGCGTAGGGGAGGAAACCGGAGGACCCGGGGAAACCCCACGAGGTTGAAGAGGCGACCGTACTCCTTGTCACGTACAACCGGGGAATCGAAACCACGCCAACTGACTCAAAGACAGACATTATGATACAGCGCGCACGCGCTAACCATTCGGTCATCCAACCCCTTAAACCTGAGGGGACCCAGTCGAATTAATTTATTCTAGCTCTCTTATTCAGGGCCCTCACACGCCTATACACGCGCCCATCGACGATTATCCCAATTTCTACGCTGCCTAAATTGACGCCTGTTTGCCATCTGGTGAGTTAATAGAGGCACAACACGCGGTCGTCGCGCATGCAAATTGGCTGCATGTAGCCGATTTCTAATCGTTTGGGTGTAACTCGAATTCCTGTAACTTGGAACAAGTTTACAGAAAGCTGATTGGCCGTTTGTCCTCGATTTCGCACGACCTGTGTACGAATGTATTGATCCTGGGCTTGTGTAGTGTATCTAGGACGACCTGAACGAGATCAATCATCAACATTGTTTGATTGTTGGTACCGGTTCCACAGTCTGCTGATCACAGACTGTGACACATTAAGCATGTTGGCTACTGCTCGCTGTGTACATGTAGAACCCATTTGAAGCATGCCAATAGCACGTAGACTTCCATCATGTTGAAGACGTTTCATTGCAAATTAAACGTAACACACTAAAGCAAAGATATGCGAAACAGTAAATCTTATACAAGACCCGATAGGTAAGCAACCATGGATAGGATAAACCAGCACGCGGCAGTTTTCATCAAACCTTCCTTGAAGTGTCAAATTTGACAATGAACCCCTCCCACTTGTATGGTGTTATTGCAGGTTTGTCGACGTGCTGCCGGACTACCAGGTTGAGTTAGATCATACAAACTGGGTATATGGGTTCGGTGTTTTCTTTCCGTTTTTTTTGGCATTTTAAATGGGTTGTCGTGCCGTGTAGATTTTTTCTACATTTTGTGTTTGACACTTTCTACATTTTGTGTTTGACACTGTTTATCACTTCTATAGGCCTACTGTCGTGCTTAGTTCGTAGTGCTTTTTTGAGATGATCCGTCATAGGTGGGATACATATTTCCAGGTTTGTCGACGTGCTGCCGGACTACCGGGTTGAGTTATACAAACTCAACTGGGTAATGGGTTCGGTGTTTTCTTTCCGTTTTTTTTTTTACATTTTCAATGGGTTGTCGTGTAGAATTTTTCGGTTTGACACTTTCTACATTTTGTGTTTGACACTGTCTGTCACTTCTATACTGTCGTGCTTAGTTCGTAGTGCTTTTTTGAGATGATCCGTGATAGGTCGGATATATTACACTTATGCCTACCGGTATGAGTGGAGAACGTGCTACTTTTACTTTATAACCCGAGCTGCACAAATGTCAGGGTCAAGGTCACTTCTAATTAAAACGAATAAACTGTGCATTTCTTACGTATCTGCGAATATAACTGTTATGAATACAATTTAATTTAATTACTGCAACATGCTTTGTCAAAATAAAGGTATAACAAGTCCTTGGTTTCGTAATAAACGCACTTATATAAGAAACTAAAATACGAAAGAACGCATGCTCTACGACCTTGAGATCGTTACAAGGTTGCCAAAATGGCCTCCCTATTAAGTCTGTCTGCGAAGTCTGCTCAAAAAACTGCAATTAAATCGTTTGTAAGTATATTGCCGGGTTTTGTTTTTGCATCTAAGAAGTGCAATATGGTTTTGTCTTTCTAGAGATGTCGATTTTTTTTTACATATTTCTGGTATATTATTGTCGTAAGACTGTTATTAAAACTTTGTTGTGGTTTGGTTCTGCAGAGAAAAACAAATTATGCAACCGGACAACCATATCATATCATATCATATCCGTGAGTTCAGTGAGCTGCACAAGCCGCAGTTTATCAGCAATGATAACCGGTAGCACTATTTACTCAAATCAAGCCAAGACCACCATTATTTCAATTCGTATCATAATAATTTATTGAATGTCATAATAAGATTAAATACAACGCACTTTTGACTAAATCAAATACATTACAACTCACTTTTGACTAAATTAAATACAACTTTTGACTAAATCAAATACAACTCACTTTTGACTAAATCAAGGTTTATTTTGACACGAAAACGTTAAAAGTTTAAATTAAAAACGACAAGCTGGCGTATTATAGAATGGCATATTATCAAATATCGATATATATATATATATGAGTTGAAAATTTCAAATCTCTACTATTGTGGAAGTTATGTATTTAAAGGGAATATCAGTTTCTGGATTAAACCAGTAAAAATGAGCTATTGCCAGTAGAAGGAAGTTAAAGGTGATATTATATTACGGTATTTATTATATTTTAGTTGTACAATCTCTCGAAACCAGGAGCAGCAAGTTCAACAAGAGATTTAAGTTTTTGGGTTCATGGTAGAAATTCAAATGCTAAAGTCAGCACTGGTGCACAGGTTAGTAAACTTTAATAAAAAAATTAAAGAAAAATGGTTTTATACTAATGTAGCTCTATTTAAAAAGTGCCTGAAACTGTTTCAACTTATCATTGAAAGTCCACTTAATCCTGTAATTGAACAATAGATAGATGACAGTTACAACTCCATAAATCAAATTTTAAAGGAGATTGTCCATCTATTTCTATATTAAAGAAAATGGTCCTATTTTTATATTCAAATGATTGATAGAAAACGAATCAGCATTTTAACAAGTTTTTAGATGGTACCAATTTAAAGATTGCATTTGTGACAACCTGCGTGATATAGAACTAGTAACTGTCAATTGGAAAGATTAGACACACAACTATCAGTATCATCAGTAAGCTTATTTATTGAAACATAAAATTGTAAAAATACACCAATTTACTAAAAATGTTACTATTTTCCGGGGGGTGTCCATAATCTTTTTTAGGATAGCTTAGTTTTTGTTAAATACATGTATAGACGCAGATAGACAATGTCCTTAAATATTAATATTCACTTATTTTGACCCCCATGACTATTTATTATTATTACTAGATAACATTTGATAACATTCTCAACTAATTTCCTGACTATTTATTCAGAAACCACTCAGATATCAAATTAACGAAGTTTCCCCAAAACCTATACAACAAATATTGAGCAAGTTTAATTTAGTGCAATTAATATACCAATGTTAAATAACTTAAATCCCACCCCTGTAAAGACAAATTATTATTACTGTTGTGTATTGGACCAAAGTTTCAACACTAGCATTGGTATTGTATGGTAAAAAGTTTACATTTACTTAAAAACAATACAAAAGTGTGTGTACAAAACAGAATTTACACTTTTTTTAAATCTGAAAACATTCCCCCCAATTATATATATTATAACATCTGATGACGCCCAAGAAAGAGCAGACAGCTAGCTTATAATTTGATGTATCAGAATGAAGTAAAGTTGTTGATTTTTTTAACTTGACATATTTTTATACGCCCACATTTTCATGTGGACGTATTGTCGTCGCCCCTGTCCGTCCGTCCACAATTGTTTGTGAACAGTCTACAGGTCACAATTTTTATCCGATTTCAATGAAACTTGAAATATAGGTTTATCACCCTAAGATCTCGGTTCCTTTCGATATTGGCATCTATCGAACCATAACTTCATGGATTATGGCCCCTGATTGTACGAAAAATCACGTTTTTGGCTTGTGAACACTGTAGAGGTCACAATTTTTATCCGATTTTGTTGAAACTTGAAATGTAAGTTTATAACCCAAAGAGCTCGGTTCCTTTCGATATTCGCGCATATCGGACCGTAACTTCCTGAATTATGGCCGCTGATTGTACGCAAAAACGCGTTTTTTGGCTTGTGGACCCTATAGAGGTAATAATTTTTATCCAATTTAAAAAAACGTATTATTATATCACCGTTACACCCTAAGGATGAATGAGTTCGAATTTCATGAAAATCGGCCCAAAATTGACAGACAAAATGGCCGCCGTTCGTTCTCAAATAGCGTAAAAATATGGTATATCAAGGTTGTGGACCCTATAGAGGTCACAATTTTTATCCGATTTTGTTGAAACTTGAAATTTAAGTTTATAATCCAAAGATCTCGGTTCCTTTCAATATTTGCGCATATCAGACCGTAACTTCCTGAATTATGGCCCCTGATTGTACGAAAAATCGTGTTTTTAGCTTGTGGACCCTATAGAGGTCATAATTTTTATCCGATTTAAAAAAACATATTATTATACCACCGTTACACCCTAAGGATGGCTGAGTTCAAATTTCGGGAAAATCGGCCTAAAATTGACAGACAAAATGGCCGCCGTTCGTTCTCAAATAGCGTAAAAATATGGTATATCTAGGTTGTGGACCCTATAGAGGTCACAATTTTTATCCGATTTTGTTGAAACTTGACATGTAAGTTTATAACCCAAAGATCTCGGTTCCTTTCGATATTTGCGCATATCGGACCATAACTTCCTGAATTATGGCTCCTGATTGTACAAAAAATCGCGTTTTTAGCTTGTGGAACCCTATAGAGGTCATAATTTTTATCCGATTTAAAAAAAACGTATTATTATATCACCATAACACCCTAAGGACAAATGAGTTCGAATTTCATGAAAATCGGCCTAAAATTGACAGACAAAATGGCCGCCGTTCGTTCTCAAATAGCGTAAAAATATGGTATATCAAGGTTGTGGACCCTATAGAGGTCACAATTTTTATCCGATTTTGTTGAAACTTGAAATGTAAGTTTATAACTAAAAGATCTTGGTTCCTGTCAATATTTGCACATATCGAATTGTAATTTCCTGAATTATGGCCCTTGATTGTAGGAAAAATCACTTTCGTTTTAGCTTGTTTTCTATCCATCTCTCGAAAATGTGGGGGTATCCTGCCTGGCAGCCGCTGGTTTATGGCTGTTTTTTTTTCTTATAAGGTATCACGAGATTATCCAGTGATAGATCATACATATGATGCAGTGGTGGTAGGGGCGGGTGGTGCTGGTCTACGAGCTGCATTCGGTCTGGCTAACGAAGGCTTTAAAACAGCATGCATTACCAAATTATTTCCTACACGATCACATACAGTCGCAGCTCAGGTGAGTCATGAACTAAACACTTGTTTCCTACACATTCATTGCAGAAGTTGGAAAATAAAGTATTTTAAAATTTTATTATTTAAGTCTTAAACTTGTATAGGTTTCTCAGTTTTCCAACATATGTGGTTCGCCGATGTCATAGATACAGTTATGATCGGATTGGCTACATGTGCTCGATAATTGTCTGTGACTCAGTGTGAGAGAGCTACTTATTAATTAGTTATAATCAAGCCTGGGAATAACTTTCAAATGTGTGTGTCTGACACCATGCCAGGCTGGATGAACATGCTGCCTGACCTTTTAAATTTTCGGTCAGACATAATATTCTGACATTTGGGGTGCCACAAAGTCTATCAAGATCTATTCTGTTGACTAATGTCTTTTGCGATCCACATGACTTGAGCCAGGGCAGTTTTGCTTAGTTTTCGTTTGTTGGACGAAATTGGTTTTGATTTGCCACAGATATAAAAATGTTCCTCATTAAAATGCCTTGAATGTCATTATACTCGGGGTAGATATATGTCGGCCGGGAAATGCAAAGTGCTATTTTATCTCGGGAATGAAACATGAACACAATGATTAAGGAATGAATAATTGGGTCACACTTCTTGCAGATTTAAAATACACACCACCTATTGAGAACTCAACTATTTGTTGTATGATTGAATAAAGTATGATCTAGACTTTGAGTTATTAAAGATACATTCCTTTGTACAAACTGGGTGATTTGATGATATATTTGGACTAAAAACATATTCAAACTTAATTCATTTATCATAATTTTGCTTCAAATCCTTCTCAAAACATTGTAATTGGCAGGGAATACGCCTGCTATAAAAAATCGATCAAAAGAGGTCATGTTTGTGTCAAGTGACTTACCTCTCTCGGTACCGAGCAATGGGTGTGATTGAAGCCGGAGGAGAATTCATTGCATATACAAGACGATGTTGTCTTTAATCGCTGACTATTTATTAAAAATATTGAAGCACAATAAATTCTTGGATTATCCACAGCCAAAGTTTTTTCCGTGGATTTTAACTCAGAAACTGTTGCACCATAAAGTTATCAACATTTACATTAAGCACTCACTAATGCTGGGATATTAGACAATCTTCGCGTGATACCTTTGATGTTACTCGAGCAGACATCATTATCGTCTGGTTGCCGGTTAGGGAAACCCTTATATTTTTGCCCTGTATGCACCCCATGGGTGTTTTTCATGGAATCCAGTATTTTTGTAGTAAGATTGGATATTTCTACTTTCCATATATATACCAAAATTGACATACTTTTATTGGAAATAAACACCCGATAAATTTTTCCTCAGACAAAATGACAGACTGTTTGGAAGTTGCACCTGACAAGTCGCAGAATTTGATCGGACTTTTGTGTCCTACCAGTTATTTCCAGGCATGGTTATAATGGATTATATATATTTCAGGGCCGTATAAATGCTGCTTTAAGCGATATGGAAGAGTTCTAATGTATTATATATATTTTTAGGGTGGTATAAATGCTGCATTGGGACATATGGAAGAAGATGATTGGAAGTATCATTTTTACGATACAGTGAAAGGATCTGATTGGTTGGGGGATCAAGATGCGATACAGTATATGTGTGAGGAAGCACCTAAAGCTGTTATTGAGGTATTACAACCAGTGTATGTGATTGATGTTATGGCCCAATCATTTGTTTATTTTAATTCTCATACCTTTCTTTCAGGTGCCGTTATCTTATATGTATCTCTACGGATCCTCGGTTAAGCTTTCTAGATTAGGGGTTGAATGAATCTCTTTCGACCCGTCTCATTACTTGGAGGTAAATTAAACCTCACAATTGAACAATACCAAGTTAATTTAATAGGTGTTGCTTAGAGTTGATCTATATTTTGAATCAGTTATGGTACTCAAACTACAGGATTTGTAATTTTCACCGATGATGTACAAGACTATGAGACGAAATCATCAACTCATTGAAGGTCTATTGAACTCTCTTCGTCCCTGGAAAGTGACAAAAAATACATTTCCGTTATTTTGTTAATTTCTCTGTTTTTGGAGTTCCATGACAATATATGACAGGAAGACCATTTCTATAGTCATAGGATGATTGTTGTAGGATTGTTTCTATAGTGACAGATGGATTGTTTTTGTCGTGACTATAGTGGCCTAAGGATTGTCTCTATAGTCATGAGAAGACTGTTTCTGTAAGGACAGGAGAATAGTGCAATGTAAACTATTTTTCTCTGCTTTTAATTTCAGCTTGAGAACTACGGTATGCCATTCAGTCGTTTAGAAAATGGTAAAATCTATCAGAGAGCTTTCGGAGGTCAAAGTTTACAATATGGAAAAGGTGGTCAGGCTCACAGATGTTGCTGTGTTGCAGATAGAACTGGACATTCTTTACTACATACTTTGTATGGTCGTGTAAGTACTGGTCAGTCTTTACTACATACCTTGTGCTGTCGAGTGTGTGCTAGAAATTATTTATTACATACATTATTATTATTATTATTACACATTTCTATAGCGTACAACTGTCGCATAAATGTGATCATGGGCACTTTTACAAAGACATATTATAGAGCAATACAGTATTTGTCCACACCATTATTATAAATTTAATATTTATGCAACTCTAAATAAGAAAAACAAATAAATAAGTAAGAATTTGAAATACCGGCTGATAACCAATGTTTAGTACAGTAATATTTATTCATCATCTACAAATTAGGCCTCCAGAAAATTAAGCTACTAACTTAAATAAAGGTAAGTCAGACTTAACACCGGCTGAATAATTCTGTGACTTCATCTATCTATATTAACTTTTGGAAAAATATTTTCAGATCCGCTGTCTTTTATTTTGACAACCACTTAGTGGTATCGATACTGTACTCATTGTTAAAGCACAGATTTTGCTGGTGATTTAAAACGAAATCGGCGCCCAAGGGAGAATATTTTCAGTCATCTCTCTCACAGTCATGTTTCTCTTGAAAGATATGGCATTTTGATTGTAAAAAAAAGACAGATTGACATCAATATTGACACCATCTTTGCGAAAAATAAATTAACCTTCAATTTTCCGGTGCCGTTCGTGATTGTCAATAGTATTTCCCATGGTTACGTACTTGATAGATGAGTCTTGTTTTCATTTCCTGTTATCAAGAAATGTTCAATAGTTATTTCCCTTGATCGCAGGAAATAAAAATGTGTGACGCGTCCCATTTTTGATGACGCAGCGGTAGCTGAAAACTAGAATATCTTTTTTGTGTAGCCTTACATTTACATTTTGTTTGTGTTGTTTAAAAGAATTAGTCAAGCTGCAAAGAATCGACTACTGGTGTTAAATTTTAGGTCCGGTAAAAAGTATGCAGCTGTGCTGATCATCTAAATTAAGTAAAGTAGTCCTGATAAACCCTTCTAAAAATCTGGCATTCTATTAAATTGTTACTAGATAAATCAAATACTGTAGTTAGATTTTATAATTATGAATCGAGGAATGTAAGGAAATTTTATTTTTACAATTTTGTATTTTTCAGTCGTTGAAGTATGACACCAACTATTTTATTGAGTATTTTGCATTAGATCTGATTATGGAAGGAGGTGAATGTAGAGGAGTAATTGCCCTTTGTTTAGAAGATGGCACAATTCATCGTTTTAAATCAAAGAACACCATCTTGGCAACAGGGTAAGTATTATAACTGTAAATATTCTTTAAAATATATAAAATAAATCATGCAGAAATATTTTGAACAAAAGGTAGTTGTTGAGTGGTATAACATGGGTACTGTTGATCATCAGGGTCTGTTATCATGGGTTTGATACTGTGGATGTACTAATAGTACTGTTGATATATTATGATAGAGATAGAGGATATGTCTAGTATTGTTTCTGTTGTATGTCTAGTATTGTTTATAATAGAGGATATGTCTAGTATTGATATATTAAAGAGGATAATATGTCTAATATTGTTTATATATGATAGACGATATGTATTATTTATATATTACATAGGATATATCTAGTATTGCCTATATAGTATAGAGATACATCTAGTCTTGATATATTAAAGAGGATATGTCTAGTATTCTGGTCTCATCAAACATCCTATACCTACAGATGTTAGGTCTGGGAAATATTCCATTAAATAGCTGTAGAAATATTCCGTTAAAATAGCTGTAGAAATATGATTGTCAAGACAAAAGCGGTGGGTGGGTGAGAACATGAAAATGTAATAAAAGGGCCCCAATTCAACAGAACACAAAGTTTGCATAACAACCACATTCCTCCATCCAAGTAAGGAATTGACGGATGAGTGAGGATTGTCGGTAGAACATGTGACAGTTCAGAAACAGATAGTATTCATTACATAGAATATATCTAATATTATTTATATAACATAGAGAATATGTTTGGTATTGTTTATAGGGAATACTTCTAGTATTTTTTTTTTGTATATTATAGAGGATATGGTAGAGCATATTTTTCGTGTACATCAGCTCACACATGTACAGGTGATGGTACAGCTATGGCAAACAGAGCTGGGCTACCTAACGAAGACATGGAATTTATCCAATTCCATCCTACAGGTAAAATCTCAATAAACTAAATAACTTGCACATTGATATGTTTTTAAAATAATAATAATAATCGTTTTCTATAGTGCTGAACATTCAGTTAGTCTGACTACTCTGTGGCGCTTTACTTAAAATGGGTAAATAGATCATGATTCGACTAATATACATGATGGTTGTAGAGAGATAGATGTGTATTTTTCAAGAATTTAAAAACACTGCCTTCATTGACGGGGGTTAAAATCAGGCACATATATTAATGTCATGCCAATTGATGTTTGAAAAATGCAGGTGCTTTGAAGATTGCTCTCCTTGTCAAGTTTAGGGGGACTGTTTAGAATGCTTTCCTAAATGTTTCTGGTCTTTCTTTAGGCGGGGGGAGGGAGGGCCCGAGGGGGGGGGGGCCCAAATGTGTCGAAGAGCATTTGATTTGATTTAGAAATAAGTGCTAGAGATATAGCTCATTGATTAATTGGGGGGTTGGATGGCCGAATGGTTAGCACGTGCGTGCTGTATCATAGGCCCGTCATTGAGTCAACTGGCGTGGTTTCGAATCCCTGGTTGTGCGTGACAAGGAGTAGGGTCGCCTGTCCAGCCTCATGGGTTTTCTCCGGGTCCTCCAGTTTCCCCCCACTGCTAAAGACCCCTATGCGCAAGCGAATTATTGAAATAAAATTAAACCATATGTTAGTCCCGAGATGACTTAGTTTGTGTCGAGTGGACGTTAAACCCCATTGCTCTCTCATTGTTTAATTCTATCATTGGGTATATATGGAATTAGTTGGTGACAATATTTACACAAAGTATAATCTGTGTTCAATGTGTAGATGTGGTTGTTGTATTATACATGTATCTACAGGTATTTACGGAGCTGGTTGTCTTATTACGGAGGGATCACGAGGTGAAGGAGGATACCTGATCAACTCAGAAGGTGAACGTTACATGGAACGATATGCACCAACTGCTAAAGATCTCGCATCACGAGATGTTGTATCACGTTCTTCTACCATAGAAATCCGAGAAGGAAGGTAGGTCGATCACATCACGAGATATCATGTTTACATTAATCTACTATAGGTAGATCAATTATCGGTCTGAGCGGATATTGGTATTACTGATAATAATAATAATGATACTAATAGTCTATTTATGATTTATAGTGCTCTGTTTCCATGACTAAGCATGCTCAAAGCGCAGTCCAAAAAGTGAGCCACTGTCACATGCTGAATGCTGATGTAAAAAAGTATCTTTTGAGTAGATCTAAATACTTCTAAAAAAGGTGCGTTCTTGACGTACATAAGTAATTCATTCCATTCTGTTGGAGCAACATGTGAAAAACAGTTCTGGCTGAAACGAACCGTTTTGTTTTTTGGCACACGAAGAATATTTTTTTCTTAAGACCTTAGTGTTCTTGATGGGGTCCGAAAGATTATTTGGAGCACAAAATATTATACTTTATCCTGAAGTGTACTGGTAGAAAATGTAGGTCTTTAAGAGTTCTTGTTACGTGGCTAAAGCGAGAAGTGATTAACACTAACTCTTGCTGCGGTGTTAACTGATGTTTTCTTATGATGACATGTTATCTCATTTAAGGGGATATATAATGGGAAAAAGTTATGACAAAAATACTAATATGCAGATAAAAAATATGAAACACTGATTGATGAGTAATTTGTCAGATGTTATATTTCAGGGGTTGTGGACCAGAAAAAGATCATGTTTTATTACAGTTACATCATTTGCCACCAGAGGTCCTTCACACACGACTTCCTGGTATCTCAGAAACAGCCATGATCTTCGCTGGGGTTGACGTGACACGTGACCCTATACCTGTATTACCCACAGTTCATTATAATATGGGCGGAACCCCCACTAATTATAAAGGACAGGTGAGAAATTAAACTGTCGTGTTAACTGGCAATTCTGATTATACCAAATCAAATTAACAGGAAAACTATCCAGTAAAACATATACGGTACAGACAATTACACTGAATGTCGACTGTGTGAACCTGTCTATAGACATGTTTCAGTAGCCCATTGACAGGTAGTATCAGGTGTTCTAGAAATGATCAGCCTTAGCATACCCTGTATCTTGCACAGACACCTGTCACATTTTGTAGCCATACAGCCAAATCCAGTAACTCTTTATGGGTCCAAAGGGTTCAACAATGTCCCAATGAAATTTAAAATGCCTGGTAACAGAAGTGTGTAGGGCATGGGTTCCATCTCGGACATATTTGCTGGGCATGGCCGCTTGTTTTAAAAATTGACTGAAACATGCGGTACCGATTGGTCAATTTACATGTTATAAAACTTTATGATATTTTTATTTTGTAGGTTATTCGGTATTCAAAAGAGACAGGAGATGAAGTAGTACCAGGTTTATATGCTTGTGGTGAGGCTGCATGCGCCTCTGTTCATGGCGCTAATCGTCTTGGTGCTAACTCACTATTAGATTTAGTTGTGTTTGGCAGGGCGTGCGCCAACACCATTGCAGCTGAAAATAAACCCGGTGAAAAAATAGGAGATATTAAAGAGGTATGGTCTATGTAAGAATTGACTTAGAAATGGGTATCATTTATACACCTTGAGAGGTGGTTGGTCATTTTCAACATTCAAGACTATTCAATTTTAAGTTGTTTTTTTTTTTGTTTAAACAATATTTTATTCAGGTTGTCTGAATGGGATTGGGTAAAAGGCTTATCCTATGTAAAACCCCATTTAAAGTTATCTGGTGGTAATTTTAAATATAACAGCCCTCTCTTGTCTGTTTATTTCTATGTTATATAGAATGTTATTTATTTCTATGTTATATACTCTTTAAAAAAAAGTAGGCTATATTGAAATGCAAATACCTATGCAGGTTGTCATATGATAACTCAGGGACACTCAGGGATCAAATTTGACAGGCACTAACACGCAAAATGCGTGTTGATTTCGTAGACAGCGTGTTACAAAATATGTCAAACGAAAAAAAATGCGTGTAACATTTTTTCGCTTATTGTTACTGAATATGATTATTCAATAAAAAAAAAACAATATACACACATATCATAATTGACCTTTTTTTTGTGTTCGACCATCTGTCCTTTCATTATTGTCGTTTTATTCCATCAAACAAATTCCGACATCGGTGAAAAATGTAAATTATTGGCGAATGGCTTTCACGCGACACAAACAGTTTTAATAGTAAATAAACACGTACCGTTTTGATTTTTCTGGATGATGTTTAACATAAGTATTGAAAAAATGTTTTCCTTTTGATGTTATTTACGATATTTTATTGCTTGATGAATAAATACTGTTATAAACTCCCAGTATTCATTCCACAAGTTGCAAATGCCGATAAGGAGCTTTGTTTACGTCATGTGACTTCTCGCTCACTTTTCCACCCGTTAGCATTATCCCTGTTTCTGTTCAATTTCTATACATCTCGACAAATTGTTCATATCGATACTTTGATTTTCCAAAGGAATCATTGATTTTCACTTCAGATTGAAATAGATTTTAATAATGCAGAAATATAAATAATGCCAACATTGCCAACTATATATTTTGAGAGTTCCGGTAGACTGATTGATTAGTGATTATCATTCAGCGGACGTGCAGTCCGTGATCCGAAAAATTGCTATTTCAGTATTTGACATCAATGGGCACTTTTTGACATAAGTACTTATGTTTTATAGTTTAATTTACTATCCTTGTATTATATAATGCATCTTCAAGAAGATGTACGCTTGAGTGAGGAAAAAACAAGTTTTCAAGGGTAGCTATAAAAATAAATATGCACGGACGAAAGAACACAAACTTTTTTTAATTTTTTTTTGTGTCTCCGCCATTTTTAATTTAAATAAAATATTATAATTAATATTTTGAAAATTAAAACTATAAATAACAACTTTTGCAAGTTTGTAAATTTTGTTTGTAAATTCAGTACTGTATGCTAAAAATAATATTGACTAGAAATAATAATATTGACTAGAAAGTGTCAAGTGGTATTCCCAACTTTTTATGCATATTTATTTACATTAAAAAAAAAAACCCCTGATAAACTGAAAGTATTGACATTTTATAAAATATTGCAATATAGTGATTATATCGCAATGTTTTCAGGGATATCACCCAGCTTAGCCATTAGCTTTTTAATGAAATTGTAAGGAATATGTGTACACTCCAATGTATAACATAGCTTGTACATGTAATCCAAAGATAATAAAAGTATTTTCATTAAAGAAAAAATTGCCCCTTGAATTTCTTTAGAATCTTAGTTTTGCTTGTACATTTGAAATCAACAAGCAAAATTTTGCTTGTGTGTTTTCAAATAAAGTTCTATCCCTGTGGACACTTGACATGCTTTGAGAGTATGTTCACAGATGAAGAACTTATAGCCCAAAAAGAACCACTGACACGCAATTGACACTTCAAGGAAGGGTTGATGAAAACTGTCGCGTGCTGGTTTATCTATCAATGTTAGCATTCCTATTGGTTCTTGCATACGATTTACTGTTTAGCATATCTTTGCTTTAGTGTGTTACATTTATTTTTATCGGGAGACGTGTTCGTCAACGTCAACCGACAACACTGCAAGAATTGGCCGTGGCACTGCAAGAGGAGTGGGTCAGATTGATCCAAATCGTTATTGGACGGTTAATTAGGAGCATGCTACGAAGAATTGCTGAATGTCTGAGGATTGGTGGAGCAGTTACTCATTATTAAGACAAAAATCAAAAACGTCCATTTTCACTTTTGACGGTGTATCTCTTTGCGAGTGAAATGGGGCCGTCAGATAAGCCGCCCATATGAACTGTTTATGTTCATGTGTAGGCAATTGGCCTGTTATTAACATACACTGGTTACCTCTAATAAAAACAGCAGTGCATTTCCACAGTTTTGTATTGTTTCTGAATATCCTCTACTTTTTTTTGAAGAGTATAGAATATTGTTTATTTCTATTTTATATTAGGTGTCACAACTCCATTGCCAATATTGGAAGAAAGTTGTTTTTCCCAATTTGTAAACTTTTTTCAACTTAACGTCAAACAGTGGTGATTTGATTTTTTGTAATAATTTTAAAATATTTTAGAATCAGATTTCCTGTTCTTTTGTTTGATATAATTTTATTAATTTCATAAACGTAAGTTGAAAAACATCAATTTTGCATGATTTGAAAAATTTTGTCACGTTTATAAATGTGGGTACCCCAGTTCAAGTGCTTGGCGGTCGCACTTATTGTTAATATTATTTTTTCATTTTAATATCATCTTGATCAGGGGTGCTTTGATCGCAACTTTGAGACTCCATAAAAAAAAGCATTTTCATCCGATTTTGAATCTGTAAAAAGTTTTGGGAGAAGAATGATGAGATCTACTTGAAAAACTAATAAAATCAAATGTAAAATCATCATCTCAAAATCACCTTTTCCACCTATTTATATAGAATGTTATTTATTTCTATATAGAATGTTATTTATTTCTATATAGAATGTTATTTATTTCTATGTTATAGAATGCTGGTGAAGAATCTGTTGCTAATTTAGATAAAATACGATATGCTAATGGTTCAACACCTACAGCTGATCTTCGTTTATCCATGCAAAAGGTATATAATGTTTAGAGAAGTAATTGGTCAGGTATAATTAACAGTTTTATCAAGACAAATTCCTTGGTGCTTGTTATTTTTATATGCCCGCATAGAAATGTGTCACAATTGTGCCAGTCCCAAAAATAAATGTGGTGTGAGCAGAATCATGAAATAATCAAACATTTCAGCAATAGTGATTGGTCAAGATAGTATCCTTGTCAGTTAGCAAATGCCTTGTCCTTCGAAATTCTCATGTTATTTTGAAATGTTAAATCAAGAGCCCCCTACATGTTCAAAGCAGGCTTTATTTTTCAAAAGCAAGAAACATATGTTAGAAACTGGCATATGACATGGGTAAAAGTGTCTGCCTGCTGAAACTTTTAAGTAATACTGCAGCTGATTCTGAATGATACTGTATGTATTCCAACAACTAAATCACTTTGGTTAAATTGTTTTTTCACAATTAAAATGTGTGTTTTATTTATTATCAGACTATGCAGAATTATGCTGCTGTGTTCCGTGATGGAGAGACATTAAAAGAAGGATGTGATAAAATGGATGGATTATATAAACAGATGGATGACCTAAAGGTTAGTTGGTGATCATCATTTCAAAATTTTCTTACTACCATATAAACAAAGAAACTAAACTAAAATTAAATTTCAGTTTAAGAAGAGATTAGGATCCAGGGAGAAGTCTTGCATTTTGAATTGTTTTTCTTCAATTATTTATGTATTTCATTTCAGGTACATGATCGAGGTTTGATATGGAACACAGATTTAGTAGAGACTTTAGAGTTACAGAATTTAATGATTAATGCAGTTCAAACTATTAAAAGCGCAGAAAATCGTAAAGAAAGCAGGGGAGCTCACTCTAGGGAAGATTTTAAGGTAAATGGGTGGCATTGATTTATTTGGAGCAAGATTTTAGAATTTTATAAGCCTGTCCATCATTTCTTGTGAACAATCTAGATTTTATAGCTATCTTGTGAATAGTCTAGAGACTACTACTATCTTGTGAACAATCTTTTAAGAATTAAATTACTTTATGTTAGTGGGATGAAAGAGTTCTGGAGGACATTTTGGGAAACTAGGTGAGATTGATCATTAGGGCGAATCCTATTAAAAATTGTGGATTGTAAATTTTGCACCTGTTTGGCAGAGTTATCTTTCTGTTCATACTTTGACAAAAAATATGAATGTAACATGTAAGTCCCAAAATGAACAGATTTGTATTAGGTGAATGTTAAACTTTAGTTTTCTATTTCATTTGTTTACAGCACCGTATAGATGAATATGATTATAGTAAACCTATTGAAGGACAGACGGCGAAACCTTTTGAAGAACATTGGAGAAAACACACATTGTCATATGTTGATGGTGCTACAGGCAAGGTAAGAACACCACACAGTTATATTTTACTTGGTATTCAGCATCACAATCTTCAGGGTGATGCTGCTCGACGAGCCGAACTATTTTCTGTAACCAGATTAATTGTTGAAGTTGATGCATATTATAATTATTTACAATTGTTGATTTTGTGCCAATATGAGGTAACCTCTACTAGGTCCAGACACTGGCCAAGGTGTGCCCTCTACTAGTCCATTACCCACAACTAGGCTCATACCCCTTTACCAGTCCAATACTCTACCAGTCCAAGGTGTACCCTTTAGAAATAACGTGATTTGTTTATGTTACAGGAAAATGTGTATTAAAGATAATGTGATAATCACCTTTTCTAACTTTTTTGATAGTATTGGTAAAGCTCTATTACTGACTATATTATTCTCTAATATATTATTTTATTATGTTCTACAGGTGACGTTAGATTATAGACCAGTTATAGATGATACATTAGATCAGAAAGAATGTCCAATGGTACCACCAGCGATAAGATCATATTAGCTACAGTGTAATGTCTATAAGATATGGTAAGTACGCTGGCCAGGTTTAAACAGTGGTCTAACATGACTTACCACTTTCGGTACTCCCACATGGGTAGTCATAATTTCAGTCTTTTGTACTAAATTTTTTCAAATTGCATAAGAAAGGAAGATAACAGCAATAAAAATTAAAAATATAATAATTGTACCAAATGTATGTTATAGCAAGCATAATTGTTATGTTGTCTGAGAGTGGGGGTGTAATGGCATAATTATTCATTATTCATTAAAAGGTATTATAGAAACGAAACAGGCTGTACCGTCCTACTACTTTTCTGCACCAACCGGTCTAACGAAGTCCGTTATAAGCCAGAGTTGTTGCCCTTGATCACTTAACAGAACAAAATTTATCATTTTATCTGCTTGAAATTTATATAAATTGTTTAGACAAGTGAAAGAATCCTGTTTAATTTCATCCTTTCTAGTAATCATGACATAGAATCTGGTCACAGTGATATTGACGCTATATGGAATCAAGATTTTGCTTTTTATTAACCCAAAGATTCACAATGAGATAACCTCTTTGGACTGGAAGGTTGTGGTCATATATATTTTGTTGTTACCTGGCAACTTATCATTCTGCTGATGATGTGGCACCTATCATTTTCTTATGTATTTAATATTTTTAGAATCTGAAGATGAAATGTACAAGGGATAGAGAGAGACAGTGTTATAAATGGTGATGAATATTTATTGATGTCCGCAGTGAAGAATTTTGGTTGATTACGGGCCATTTATGTTGAAACATATGACAAACTTTGAAATTTTTTTTATAATAAATACATATATGAATGATGTATTACCAGGGGCTGTCATAATTACATGTCAAAATTGTCCTAACCTGTCAGATAGACCTTACTGATCAATATACCTTTTGGTCAATTTAATTGCCATACAATTTGTTAATATAGAGTATTGTACTCATTTAACTCTACTGAAAAATTTAAAACTTACTTTAGAAGGTGAGCAATCTGATTAAATCACTGAATCTATTTCGTTTTATTTTTTATTGCTCAAAATTTTGTTTTACTCGTCTTTACTACACAAGTCTGGAAGAGTTGTTATATACCCACATTCTAGTTGAAGTGAGGGATTAACCAGTCAAGTGATCTGTTGAGTCGAGTTCACAAGTGATAGAAAACAAGTCAAAGCAAAATTTGTATTTCCGAATACCCTCTTGAAACACTGAAACTGATTGGTTAATCGATTGATAGGGTCAAAAGCCGCTCACAACTACTGGTCAGATCTTCGTGTAGGTGAGGCCATCGAAGTATAAAAATAATCTAACGAAATATAGGTCTGTAGTTTTAATCAGATTGGAAGTTGAGTTATATCTATAGAACAGCAGATAATGTAATAAAACACCAGATTTTTAATGGATAAAAAGCTTCTTTGTATTTTATTTCAGCGTTTTGACTCCGTAATATGATCTTTACTTATGAACCAAGTCAGATGAAAATATTAAATTTCTGATGATTATTTATGACCATGTGTCAAAATGCTGAAACAAAATTTTGTGTTTTAATTTGTTTTGAAGTTGCTCTACTTCATTGGCTGTACACAATGGAGAATGCAACATCAAGATAAACTTTGTCAGATGTTAAGTAAATTTTGTGATCTATTAAATTTAAAATAAGGAATATAAAATGAAAGAATGATAAAAACCAGATTTTAAGCAGATTGGTACTATGTGCTACGAAATAGGTTAGGTTTACCTTACGTGGAGCTAGTTTTGATGGGGCTACAGATTGTCACCTACAAAATTGCAGACTAGGGATCGAAAAATATTTCGTCAAACCAGATAAGGTTTTTGATTTTGATATGTGATGCTTGATATTCCAGGACCAGGCTGGACAGACATTTTCTAAATTATGTATAATGTGATAATTGCAGTAGATTATTAAATTCAATTTGTATTCCAACAGAATACAACGTGACTGTGTTGTGTTATATTTAAGCTGACGAGTCTCACATTTTACATCCTTGGTATACCCAGTGGTATTGTTCCGTTCTACTCCACTAAGCCCTTGGTCCATTCGCAGGGGAGACACATTATCAACCAATGGAGTGGACGAAGGGAAGTAACTAGCATTTTATTGCAACAAAGATAGCTGAATCGGTGTGGTGAATGTAAACAATTATGCTAAGACTGGTATGTTAACTGTTTTTTGATTGGTTCATAGAATCAGCCTACGATTAAGGGAAGATAATTTAAATTCATGAAATCCCTGTGAATGGACTTCGGGGCGTAGAACAGAACAATATCACTGGGGATACCGAGGATGAACAGTTCATCGTTTTACATCTCTCTTTAGGTCTAAATTTTCTCCCTTTGACAAAAAAAATTGAAAAGGGTCAGAAACACCAAATCACTTTATTTTTAGTTGTATGGAATACCATATCAGCCAAAATATATACATGTATATATATATTCTAATTCAAGAGTGTAGTTGTATGCTCTATTTTTAATAGAGCCCTGTTGTTATTTTGTCTGGTGTGTTATTTATTCCATACAGCCAGATATTAAGGGGATCTGATGCTTAGATGGAAAATGTAATCAGGGGAAATGATCTAGTTAATATTATATGCAAGTGTTTTGTAAATAAATGCTATTTGTTGTTTACAAGTTTAGTTTTCTTTTAAAGATCTTTCCCTTTGATGTTGTATTTACATTACCATGGAAATATATTTGCTGCTAAAAAATTTTAAATCGAAAAATGCAAACAAATGAATGAGAGCTGTGTCCTATTATTAGTGTGGAAAGTTTGTCATGATATTTTACGTGTGTTTCTCACTTGTCAGTGGTGTAGGACAGAGGGTCTGGCAAGGGACAATATATAGTCTTATAATGGGACGGAAAATTAAGGTCTTTTGTTGTCATGTACACGTAAACAAACCATTGACAGTCGAAATTTGAAATGAGAGGGTCCGTAGCCCTGCTGTCCGGGTTTGTCTACGATATCACCCTTGGTGGAATTGGACGTAAAACTCAAGGAATGAACAAACGATGCTGTCCGGGCAAATTTACCCTCATAGCACACTTTCTGGTTTAAGCCTGTCTTCATTAGCACAGTCGGTGCAGAAAAGTAGGACATTAAACTGATTTCATTTCATCTTCATCAGTCCAGTCGGAGCAGAACAGTAGGATGTTAAACCCCCGTTTGATTTTTTTACGGGTGTACTAAATCGCACCAGCACTGCGAGTAACATGTAACAACAAGCCAACAGTGAGGCTAACCTCCCCCGCCGAAATCCCAAAATAAACAGATGACACATTAATTAATCGTACATTTATTTTTTTTCAAAAGTATCAAGCAATCAAACTGATTATCAACTATGCACTAAGTTTCATCACTCTCTATCAGATAGAATCAAGATTATCTTGTCCCAAATCATCGACCAATGAAATTGATTAGCTCTGCTTAGCTTCAGATCAAAATGTTAATCATTGAACCCAGTCAAGACATTCACCTAATGAACATCAACATCAAGTTTAAACATTTTACCTCAATTAAAAGCAGAGTTGTTATGTTCTAAAGTCTTGACTAATCAAATTGCTTATCGCTCCTTAGCCTAATCAAAAAATTCTCACCATCGAACTTAGTCAAGGTAATGATATAATGAATCTATATTCAGAGTTTCATCACTCTCACTTCATTATAACCAAAGTTATCTGGCCCAAAGCATCAACCAATCAGATTGCTTATCTCTGCTTACCGTAAGCAGACAATTTTCATCATCGAACTGATGAAGGCATTCACCTAATGAACGCCTACACCAAGTCTGAACATTTTACCTCAATTAGGAGAGTTTTTGTGTTCCAAAGTCTCGATCAATCAAATTGCTTATCGCTCTGCTTACCCTCAGCAGAAAATATTCATTATCGAACTTAGTCAAGGTATTGATGTAAAAAAAGCCATACACCAAGTGTCCCTGCTCTTAATTAGAACTAAAGTTATCGTGTCCCAAAGCATCAACCAATCAAATTGCTTATCTCTGCTTACCGTAAGCAGACAATGTTCATCATCGAACTCATCAAGGCATTCACCTAATGAACGCCTACACCAGGTTTGAACATTCTACCAAAATTAGGAGAGTTTTTGTGTTCCAAAGTCTCGATCAATCAAATTGCTTATCGCTCTGCTTACCACTATACCAGCAGAAAATGTTCATTATCGAACTTAGTCAAGGTATTGATGTAAAAAAAGCTATACACCAAGTGTCCCCGCTCTTAATTAGAACTAAAGTTATCGTGTCCCAAAGCATCAACCAATCAAATTGCTTACCTCTGCTTACCCTAAGCAGAAAATTCTCATCTTCGAACTTCATCAAGGCATTCACCTACACCTAGTGTGAACATTCTAACTCAATTAGAATGAGAGTTATTGAGCTCCAAAGTCTTAACCAATCAAATTGCTTATCGCTCTGCTTACCCTGAGCAGAAAATGCTCATTATCGAACTTAGTCAAGGTATTGATGTAATGAAACTATACACCAAGTTTCATCACTCACTTAATTAGAACTAAAGTTATCATGTCCCAAAGCATCAACCAATCAAATTGCTTATCTCTGCTTACCCTAAGCAGAAAATGCCCATCTTTCGAACTCCATCAAGGCATCGACCTAATAAACACATACACCAAGTTTGAACGTTCTAGCTCAATTAGAAAGAGTTATTGTGTCCCAAAAAGAGTGACGGAGAGACAGACCAAGGGACGAACCCATTCTGCTTTCTTCGAAAGGCGGGGGACAAAAAGTGAATGAGAGCTGTGGTATACTACTGTATGCAGTGAATTGCACAAAATCAAGCCCAAAATTATAATTTCATCTAACCTATAGTTCTTAGGGTACGAAACTTAGGGGTTAGTGGTCACATTGAATGCCGATTGAATATACGATTCAATCTTTGACTTTGGACCGTTTTTGACTTGCTAGAAGACAGAGTAGATCAAATTTATGTGGGAAATGAAACATTTGTTGTTTTTTTTTATTTTTAAAGAATGTACCTTTCAGCACTACATTTTGAACAGTAATGACTCATTATTAATGAGGTGTATCTTGGTGCCTTTTGAGTAGGTTGAATTGACACTTCACGGGTTCTGTTAATCTGGTTTAAGAGGTCTCATTTGGAAGACTGGTATTCTAATTTACTTTATGAAATGAATTTCAACAACAGCCGGGCGAGGATTCTAATCTACCTTAAAGAAATGAATTTCAATAGCTAGGCGAGGATTGTATAAAAAATCAGACTCTTGTAAACAAACTTTAATAATCATTGGAAGATATACTTTAATAACTTTGAGTAAATAACTTCTTACAATGTGCTATAAGCTTTCCTTTTATTAACAACAGACCATTACTTAAAATTGAATCTTACTATTTAAAAGTGTTTTATCAAAACCTAAATATAGTAAGCAAAAGAATCTGATTGATTTTCTGAAACTATTGTGTGTAAGCCTCTCTAAATTCAATGCAGATATGCACATACATGTAGACTTAAAAATTATTTACATGCAGGTAAAATTTCAAATAACAGTAGGTAGATTACTATCATTAGTTATAATGTAAATAAATTCGGTAAGACATTACATGTACATGTATCCATTATGGTTAATAGTTATCATTTTGACACAAATATTACCAGAAAATGGATTCAGAAGAACCTTTCAAGCTTGATTTCTGCGACAGTTGTGAAATTTTATAGAAGGCTTCCAATATTTGTATGCTACTACCAGCGTAAGTTCACCTATGTCAATTTCTAGTAAAGACTTTACAGAGATTTTTAAATTCTGAAGTTTAATCTGTGTGAAATAAGGAAGGGTAACATCCATAAATATAGTAATAAATATTCTCTACAATCAACAGCTAAATATAATAAATTATAACAATTTCACTATGTACGTTTAACATTATAACTTTCCATTTTGTGTCAATATTTTCATAATATACAGAGTATTCTATGTTCAGATATAAATTACTGTACATATATTACTTTTATAAGTCATTAGTTTGGTATTTCTGACCTCTACCACCAACTTTGAGAAATAAGCCACCATCACAAAGTCGGCCAGGATTCCTCTGCCATTTATGATTTTGCCACGTACATGTACATGTACCACAATTCTTATTAATTTTGACTGATGTCCCAATGTCACTGAAGTCAGGGAGAGCTCAGATATACATGTATCAGACTAATACTGCACATCTAAACAAATTACTAGAAGCTTATTCACAATATTATGCAGATCAAATCAATATGTTAATATCTTGAATTCAGCCAGATTTGGTCCTAATGAGAATTTTGATTAAAAATCTCAGAATACTTCTTCACCGTGCTTCTTTCCGAAAATCGCAAGAATTATCTCTGTCCTGCTAAATAAATAAATTCCCCAGAATCACTTTATTTGAGGGTCATTATGACATATTCTCTAGAACTGAAAGGTCATTCAGTCGAGCACAGTTTGAGACGAAAGCTAGGCACCTTGTAGATAGTTTTAGTAACTGACACTTTCTCCAACACTTAACAGCAGAAGCGGTATAGATTTTAGAGCCAGTCACTTTCTAAATATAGCTTTTGCAAAATATTTCCATATATGTTAGTAATAAATCATTTTTTAAAACATCTAAAAAGTACTTTACTTAACAAGAAACTTCGCTATCTAAGACCATTTCTTTAACGTCCTGGTCACGATTGTTCGTTTTATTTTTTTTATCACAGTCTTGGCTCGGATTTGATGCAGTAGTCACAGATTCTAACTGTTGTGGAGGTTCATTACTGCTAGCTTTTAGTTCTAACATGTCTAATGTTTGTTGTATATAACGAACTGTCTGTTTTCTCCTAGTACGAATATCATCATGGCCCTCGGCCTCAACCCCATCAAGTTTTATTAAACTTCGTGTCAACATTTCTTCTAAATATTTATAACTTTTATCTGATTTCTGTCCTGTGAACTGATTTACTTGTTGTTCTAGTTCATTAACTTCTGCTGTAACACTTTCAATTATTTCATTTGCTCGTTCCTCTGCAGTTTTTGGCTTTGGGGGTTGTCGTGGTGGTTCTGGATCACTTTCAGCAGCATCCATAGACTCAGATCGTTGACGTTCATCCCGACGCTGTGGCGTTTGTTCCGCTGGTTTCGGTTCACTCTGATATGTTTTTTGTGGTTGCTCTTGATTACTCGTTTCGTGAACTATCGGTATTACTTTTGGAAGGGAAGAGTCTGATCTAGGGGCTCCTGGATGACTACCTGACTGCATTGGCCTTTCGTAATTTGGAACGGGAGAACGTCGGGAGCCAAGATCCTGGATATTATGAGGGACAGGAGAGTGTCTAGATCCTCTTTCTTGTCTGTCAAACATTGGCACAGGAGAATTCTGTGATCCTCGATCCTGTCTTTCAAATTGAAAACCCTGAGGAATGGGTGATCCACGTGACCCGGGATCTCTTCTCTCAAATTGTATATTATGCGAAATTGGGGAACTGCGAGCCCCTTTGTCACAAGCCTGTCTAACGTGTTGAATTGGAATTTCTCTAAATGATGGAGATGCAGAACGTGTGGTGTTTGTCATATTATGAACACCTAATCCTTGAGATGTCGGAACTCGTCCAGAACTGTGTTGTTGATGTTTTGGGTAGGGTGACTCGTGAATCACAGGTATTTCCACTCCCCCTGCCCTCTCAAACTGCCCCCCTCCTCCATAGGAATGGGGATAACTTTGATTGGGGTATGTTGTAGGCTGACTACCATAATACTGAAATGATAAAAACAAGATATTTAGCATTTTTTTTAAAACCAAAAATACATCTGATAAAAAGTTCACATATATACATATAGTAACATATACTTTACCAAACTAAGAATAAAATTCTATTACTGCAGATCACCAGATAAAAAATCATCTGCTTCTTCCCTACAGCTGAAGCACATAAATCTGCATGATTCAATTCACCATGTTCACTATGAATTTACTATAATTAACACATAAATACCTCATTTCGATGGCAATGCCATGTTGAATGATTTCCTGTGAGTTAGTAATAGTGTCAGTTAGTCCAAGTTTAAGTCTAGGCCATTTTGCTAGGCTAACCAGACCATGCAATATTCGTCATTCTTCTTGGCACAGTCACGAGTACCAACGAATATTGGAATGAAAAGTTAGACTAGCCTTTACAATGGAAACAAACGTATGCCGCCAACCTTAAGAATATATTTAAATATTCTTCTACAACGTTTCGCCATTATATATTATCCAACCTGTCCTAAAGTAAAGGTTATAAAATTACGAGGCTTACTCACCATACTTCGGGGGTCAGTCCAAGTTGTTGTTTTCGTGTTATGGTCCACAAAATATGGAATTCTACTTCCTGAATCAATAAACATTTCCCAACCACTTGGTAATGGAACTTGTTCACTATTTGGATACAGATTATAATTCTGAGTTGAAGACATCGTAATCGAGCTTTTATAACAGGTAGGGAGGGGAATTCTTCTCGAACCACCAATACAGCTCGCGATTGCACGCCACCTTTCGGGAACGTTCGGGAAGCTGTCAACAAGGGGCGCAACTCGGGATTCAAATTCTGTTTTTCATACTCATTACAGCGCTTTTGCCAATATTCGTATTCAACGTAAAAACTCAACATAAATTGTTATCTCTCTCTCTCAGAATATAATATTTCATGGGCAAAGGAGCTACAATTTTAATGTTCATTGGTTCGTGACTTTGTTTATTTGTTTTGTATTTATCCGGATTTTCCCCATTATGTAGGCTACGTTCTATTGGTTTATAAACTATAATTTTGTCACAAAAGCGACGTCATATTCATATTCCTTCGTTTAATCTGGGGTCTTCCCAAAAACTTTGGACAGTGATTTAAGGTGTTAAAAACGATGAAAGTATTGTTCGTCTCCAAACAGTATTGTTTACATTGTATTCGTATTGATAGCCTCGTTTGTCACGCAATTATTCTGCTATGCATAATAAAATCGTGAGTTATGACGTAACGTTATCTACACATAAATTTTTAAAGCGTAATGATATACTGCTATGCACTGGTTAATTGGGCATAAAAAAAGATCGTGAGTCATGACGTAACGCTATGGAAACATAAATTGGTCCAATTTGGAGCTCTTTTTAAAGCGTAATAATATTGTTACGCAGTTAGCTATTGGTTGTTAATCGGACTATTGACCAGTCATAATTTGGAACAGAAATTTGCTTCCTTTACAGCAGTGTTAAATGGGATTAGCTTTAATCAAATTAAACACTATGAGGCGACGCGCGTAATGGCTGAAATGAAATGTAATGGGGTTTAAGGTCCCACTGTTCTGCTTCGACTGGGCTAACAATCTTTACAATAAAACAGTGTACATTTTTACACATCCACATTTCTATGTGGACGTGTGTTGTCGCCCCTGTCCGCCCGGACGTCCGGACGTCTGTCCGTCCACAATTTGTTTGTGAACACTCTACAAGTACCAATTTTTGTCCGATTTTGACGAAACTTGAAATATAGGTTTATCTCCTAAAGATCTCGGTTCCGTTCGATATTGGCACGTATCGGATTGTAACTTCATGGATTATGCCCCTGATTGTACGAAAAATCACGTTTTTAGCTTTTGGATCACAATTTTTATCCGATTTTAAAAAAACTTCTAAAATATCACCGTTACATCCTGATGCCGGTTGAGTTCAAAATTCGTGAAAATCGGACCGAAACTGTCTGACGAAATGGCTGCTCCTTGTATGTAAATAGTGTAAAAGTATGTAATACCAAAGTTGTGGACCCTCTACAAGTCACATTTTTTTTATCAGATTTTGATGAAACCTATGTTTATATCCCGAAGATCACGGTTCCATGGATATTCACGCATATCGGACCGTAACCTCTTGGATCATGGCCCCTGATTATACGAAATCCGCTTCTTTTTTTTTTAGCTTGTTCTCTGTCCACCTCTTGCAAATGTGGTCGTACCTTGCATGGCAACCGCTTGCTAGATCGGTTCGCGCAGAGCATTTTTCTTTCTCCTAAATTTATCGAAATAAAGGCGAACAGAAGCGTGCGAAGCAGCCGCCGTTTTGATCACACTCGGGGGGTGGGGGGGTTGGATGGCCGAATGGTTAGCACGTGCGCACGCTGTATCATAAGGCCTGTCATTGAGTCAACTGGCGTGGTTTCGAATCCCCGGTTGTACGTGACAAGGAGTAGGGTTGCCTGTCCAACCTCGTGGGTTTTCTCCGGGTCCTCCGGTTTCCTCCCACTGCTAAAGACCCCTACGCGCAAGCGAATTATGAATTTGTGTCGAGTGGACGTTAAACCCCATTTCTCTCTCTCTCTCTCTCTCTCTCTTGATCACACTCCACTCTAATCCTAAATGAGTAGAAATATTGTCTCTGAGCTTTTGATTTTATAAAATTCTCAGGTAATGACCTCCTACTGATCAAATTTCTGAACACTCGGACTGACTGGCTTGTTATAAATTTTGATTTTTTTTTTTTAGTCTAATGAAAGGCATATTCTATTGCTCGAGGAGTCACAGTGGCTCATTAATAAGTAAGGCGCCGGGTCGCTAACCTGGAGTACCCAGGTCGATCCCAGTTGGGATTGTGGGCGTGTTTTACCCATATGTTAGTGGTGCAGGACGGAGGGCCTGGCAAGGAACAGCGTCTAGGTGTTCGAATGATACGGAAATCGAAATCAAGTGACACCGTGTACACATTTACGTACACGTAAAAGAACCCTTGACAGTTGGAATTCGAAATACGAGTACGTAGGCCTAGACTGTAGCACAGCTGTCCTGGCAACGGTGTCTTCCTACTGTTTATTAAGACCCCTACGAGCAATAGAATTATTGAAATAAATTTGAACTATGTTTGTCCCGAAATTACCTAGTTTATGTCGAGTGCAAGTTAAATGCATTGCTCTCCGTCATTTCAACCCTTGCTCGCTTGCTGTGTGGGAGCATGTTTCATAACCTCGCAACTAACAGTCATTCGGGTCATCATGGTAGGTGCAGTGTTTTATTCGAGTTTCTATTGAAGATAATACAGTTATAATATAAACAGCCGTATTTTCGGCGTTCTAATTCAAGGTTAGCCCACATAGCGTTAAAAAGTAAACAGACCGCATTGCGACTTTTTATCGGGTGTTGCTCCAGAGATTGTGCAACTTTGCACTTTAGGTTTAGTTATAGGCTGCGACTATAATTATTTTGCGACTTGTGTTCGGATCCTCTGTAAAAAAAAAAATTATTTTTCATGCACTTTAAGTCCGACGTATCTGTGTGAATGGGCCTAACTGTTGTTGTCACATTTAAGCCATTCAAACCGCCAGTCCTACCCAGGTGTATTCCCCAAACGCATGTTTTAAATAAGTTGTTTACTACACACCTCTAGATCTATACAGTATACGGCATCTAGTTAGTCTACTCCTTATACGGACATCTTTAGCCGATAAAAAAAAAACATGTTTACGAAATCCATTTATTTAAGTACAAAGTTATTAACCGAATTGTTCATTCGTGATTTTACTTTCATTTAGACAGCTCCTAATTTGGCCATATACCCAATCTTCTCTTCCACGGTGAGCGATTAATTCATAATAAGCCATTAACTGCATTTTTGAAAAAAAAATAATAATTGGCTATATGATTTAGAGAAAAAATACATTGATATTTCATGTCAATGATTTCATTTGAGTAAGTGGTATGGGAGAATTATAAAGTGATTTTCCAGGCAAACGTTCACGACAAATGACAAATGACAAAAATAGACGACAGATTATTCTAATTTTCTCGCATAATATTGGCATATATTAATCGATATATTACGTGATTGAGTTGCGTCTGTTGTTTATCGATAAATTGGTTCATTGAGAAATTAAAACGACACGAAATATAAATACTGGATGTCAGATTATATAGAGAGCCAGTATCCTTGTATAATTAATAGGGCTTGCGTGAGGACCCTCCGGGCCCTTAGACAAGCAACTCGGCGAAGGGTGGGTTTAGCGAATGGTGGTGGGGGGAGGGGGTCTCTATTTTGGCGTATATCTGGAGGCCGCTTTGTTAAAACACAGAAACTGAGATTTAACACAACATAATACCTAGTACATGTACAACGTTTTAGTTTTACTGATGTATTAAAAATCAACATACGGAAAAACAAAAACCTTGACCATCAGACGCCAAAATACCAAAAATAATTTACCGGTATTTTCATTACATAAACTTTTTTTTTCAATACCCAAAATCATGTGAAACTGGATTCATTTCAAACGGAAGGGAGCCTGGATACCCTGACGGTGACGAGAGCCTCAAGCGGAACGTCACGGTGCGAAGGTCCAGGCAGCTTATCGTTTATAATTCAGCCATTTTCCCCCCAAAAAGTTGACTGACAGAATCCGATTCTAACCCTAGCTACCGGTTTTCTTCTACTTTACAATCAAATAACAGTGTAATTTTTTAAAATTAATTTTTACCAACAATTGTTTTTTTAAAAACATTACTTGGCATACCCCCGAGTCCTAGCACGAGTGTCGCAGCTGCCCCCGCCGGCCACGCCCCATCTCAAGGGCCCTGTTCGTGTGTAGGCATAAGCATGGCCTACGACGGTAACCACTAACACCATTGCTACTACACAAATCAGTGAAGCAGGCAATGGCGTTCAACTAATTGTGTGGTTCTCCCTTGTCAGTGATGCAGGACGGGGGGCTGACAAGGAAAGCTGTCTAGTCGTTCGGATGGGACGGAAAACCGAGGTCCCGTGTACACATTGGCGTCCACGTAAAAGATCCCTTGGCAGTTTCCCTCATAGCACACTGTATGGCGTATGCCCGTCTTCATTAGCCCAGGTTAGGAGCAGAACAGTAGGACGACGCCATTTCATTTCATTTCAACTAATTGTTCAGAAGCAAACCACGACCAACATAGCATCGCGTAAGCATGTCGTCATTAGCTCCTTCAGGAGTAAGATGGTAGAGCCCATTTCATTTCATTTCTCTTGAAAATAACTCCGAAGTTTAATATAATTTAGTTACCGGTAGTTTGTTATTAAACTAAGGGTGATGATAAATGTACGGTATTTGTGAAGATGTTCTACTACATTCCCGACTACTACTATACGTTACTTAGGCCTACTACATATGATATCATTTCATTTCATTCATGTTCTACTACTACTCGTACAACACCTTCCCCCAGGCTACTAACATTCTTTATATATTTCAACTTAGTATAGCCCTAGAAATGGTTCCACATACTGATGTCACAGTTTAGCTAATAGTAAGTGCAGGAGGGCCGCACTAGACGCAAAACAAAAATCTACAAGATCAAACTGCGGACAAGACAGAAAATAGACATTGCAGTATTTGCACCAAATAAACAAATATCAAATCAAGTGAATGGATCCGGGGGCCATCCGTTAGCGTCCACTGCGAGTATGTGAAGAGTGCATGGGGCCCTGGCTGAAAATGTCACCGGGGCCCTTGCGTCAAC